CGTTTTGTTGAATTTTTTCTTTTAATGTAAATATCAATTGGTTTTTGTTTTGTAAGTGTTTTTCTTTTCTATTGTTTATCTAGAAATGGAATGCAATAAAACAAGTGTTTGTCTTTTTTTTCTTTGATTGTCATCAGTAAATATAGGTCACATCATTCTGTATCAACTTTTGCCAACATGTCAAATACAATGTTTCTCTTTTTTCTGTTCTTTGTGTAATATTTGAAAGTATCAACGCCTTTTAATATATGTAAAGATGAGTACAGATTAAAGTTTAAAAAAAAAAAGAGATAAGTAACTCAGACATGTTGTCAACTGATAGTAACAAACACGCAAAACGACGACAAAATAATTTGCACGTAAATAAACAATATGGAAAAAGACTTATTGGTTCTTTTCTGCAGGATACACATACTCTATTCACTAATAGCTTTGATTATATACTAATTGGTTGATCCCACTAAGAAAAACATTATATATTTTGTGTGGGTGTATCCTGTAGAAGTGTCGACTTATGCTACTTTTTCAAGTTGATAATGCTTACTAAATCAATCATCTTCAAGAAGCAAGGAACTGAAAAGAAAAAGTGTTGTAATAACGGTATTGCGGTTAAAACAGGACATAAAAATAATAATAATGAAAACCATATGATCAATTGGATGAGGATTGATATAATATGGATTTTACTGATGTTTATATACTTATCTAAAGATGGCGTCCGTTGACAAGATTTACGGAAAAAATGAATATAGCATATTGTTTCGTCTCATGATAAGTCGGCCATTCAATTTTTATTACCAGTTAAATAGTTTATAATTTCTAATTTATATAAAATAAGTATTAGTTACAATTTATTACGAATTTCATTGGCTATGATAAGAAAACAAGATTTTAATCTGTATTTAAATTAAAGATTTGTATACCCATGAGTTTTATCAGAAGAATAAAATAGAAGAGTGTGCATTGAAGACATTAAAAAAAAGATTTAAATCATGTCGAGTATGTTTATCTCTACGTGAATTTTTTCTTTTCTGTTTCATTCAATTTATTATTTTAACTTTACTAAAAAGAATATTATTCACATAAAATTGAGTAAGTAAACAAATACGTATACAATTCAAGTAGAAAATGAGTTAAACTGCTTTGATGTAAAGTGCTGGTAATTCAAAACTTGAGTAAAAATTTTTTCTGTAGTTTTTTTTTGTCATGGTTGAATAGAACTCTTCAAGTTACCTACGAAAATAATTATTTTAATATAATCAGACGATGTTTTTTCTAGTGACATAACCAGATGATTGTGGGCAGTAGAATAATATCCTACGATATTGGGGAAAATCCATGTAATATAGTCTTAATGATGACAATAATTAAATTTTTCTCAGTAGTGGCCGGGTTCCGTTAGTTCTGAACTCCTTCAGCTCTCCCAAGTACAATTTCATTCATGGAATTCTCGAAAGAGTATGAGTTTCAATTTCGATTCTCTCTATACCCGTAGTCGCATACATATTTCAATATTCACGAAAAAGTTTGTACCATCTATTTGCAATTTCTCATTGCATTTCTAGTGGTCCAAACTTTTGGATGTACGACATCATTGCAGTTGTTTAAAATTTATGCATATGCAAAGCAGAATGATGTCAATTTCGTTTGAAATACTAGAAATGATCTGTTATCTAAATTTCTAGAAATTCTTGGGCTCTTAGATTTGTTTCAGTTGTACGTCTGAGTTCTATGAGTTCAGAACTCACGGATTCAAGGAACCTCTCGATTTTGTCACTGATTCTCAATATGATAATCGGTTATTGTGAAACTGACATTCTGATGGTGAAGATTTTAGAATACAAACCCATAATTATTGTGTTTTGGTATCATATCGAAAAACTTGATTTTCTCAATAATCAAATAATATTTTACAAAAAACATGCTTAATTTTTTTCTTAACTATATAATGAATAGAATCAAAAGAAAACCGCTGATAAACAATGAGACTACTGAGACTTAACGTTTTTGGCGTATATCAATTTTTATAGATTTTTCTAACTTTTTTTAACCTAGTTTTCTTCAGTTGCATTACAAAAAACATCGCCTGAATATATGAAAAATAGCTTTTTTAAACGTAACCCGACGAGTTCTATTAAACCGTGGCAGAAAAAAGGACCAAAAAAACAATTTTTTCTCCCAAATTTCAGATTGCTTACACCTTACGTGCAATTGTCTCAGTAAAATAAAATTTCTAGATAAGTAAGTTTTGAGCACATAAAAGATTGGTTTTCTTTTCTATTCGTGCAGAATGGTTTTAACATCTGACTACTAGTTAGAAAAAATGACAACCTATATTGAGAATGTTAGAAATGAATACAGGATCGGATCAATAACGTGATGTTTTCTGTTCAATGATTTGATAAAAAAAAAACATTGCAATTAGTAAAATATGAAGCATTATACAATAGCAAATGGAAATCAAGAGTAATCAGTTTCAATATAATTATACCAAATGAAATATTCTTATTGAAAAGAATTGATAAATACTATTATGGTTTTTATGAAAAGATTACATAGAAAAATATTAGATTAATTTTCATTTGCGTGATGCTTCAATAATATTAGAAATCATCTTAGGTTCATTTTCGTTGGTTTGATAGCAGCGAGGATTAGCTTACAATATTTGCATTGAGGTAAGATCACCTAATATTGTCCTTTGGATTTTTGATTGACTCAACTGTCTGGAGATTTTTTGAGCAAGGAAATTTGACTCTAACTCTCATTCCATAAAAGAAAGAATAACTTATTCTAAATTGAAGTATAATATATCTTTGGTTTTACCTTATATGAGATCTCGATTTCAAGATACTCATAAAAACAATCATTCGATCATTTAAGGTTGAGTCTACAAAAAGAAAAAAAACAATCAATGATCAATATAAAAGTGTTATCGTCTTTTTATGAAATGACTTCTTTTTTACAATAATATTAGATGATATCTATCTAATTTCATCTCTTGATTATATAGAAATCAATATTTTCAAATAACAAAAAAATAAATACTTAAGATATTTGTTTAGAATGATCATTGTTTTTCATTTAAAATCTGTAAAATATTATATTGACATGTTATGCAATTCAAACTAAAGGGTAGTCCAAAAGTTTCGACCACTCCTCAGTAAATCGATGATATCAACAACAAATTTATATGAAATAATTGATCAAATTATGTCATTTTATAGAGAAAGATTAGAGCTATCATCGAAAAAAAAAACTATATAGTTCGAAATATATAAATCTATTACAATGTTATGATCATTTTATCAATCTTCAGTGGAAATTTTTACATTATATTTTTTTGGAAAAAATAAAACATGCTTGTAACATCCTCAACGACATATTGTGTTCTAGATATTTTTACATGGTTCGATAGAGTTCGACAAGTTCTACGAGCATATGAATGTTTAAAAAGTTCTCGTCTTATTTTCAATATAAAACTTGAAGAAAATCAGAAAGACTAATAAAAATTTCATATATTAAATATTCGAGAGAGTAAGTTGAGCTTTCAATAACTTAAGCTGTTGACTATTCTATCTGTTCATGTAGCTGGAAAGAGTTATTTTCAGCTTCAGTATGTGACACTGCATCTCGAAACATCAATTAACAATTGATCAACTAAAATTATTGAAATTTTAAGCATACTATTTCATGCAACATATGTAAAATTTTTATTAATCTGCATGGATTCTTTCGAGTTTTATAATGAAAACAGAATTTGAATTTTTCTTGATATTCATATTCTTGTAGAGCTTGTTGAATTCTATCGAATCATATAAAAATATTTATTAAAATCATGTAGATAATAATATTTTGATCGACTTTAACGACTCAAACCTTAAAGAGTTTTGTGCTTTTTCAAAAAAAAATGTAAAGTAAAAATTTCCACTCAAGATTAGTAAAATGATCATAACATTGTAATAAATTTATGTATTTCGAACTAGTTTTTGTTTTTCAGATGATAGCTCTAATTCTTCTCTACAAAATGACCTAATTTGATCAATAATTTCATATAAGTTTATTGTTAATATTTATCGATTTACTGAGAAAAGTCGAAACTTTTGAACCATCCCCTTTACAACGCATGATTTTCTTATTTTATTGTAATTCAAATTTTCGATTTGTGTTAGTATATCATTTCGAATGACTTTGACACTACACTAAGCTATAATGATAAAACCATCGATATTATTTATCATAAATTTTACTTTTGTGCTAAGCAATTCGATCGTGCTTAAGCGATTTATTTATTTCTATGGCTTATTCTTTATTAAAAAAAAACTAATATAAACAGATAAAACTGACTAACAAACCCAATAAGAGAACCACTTAAAATATTTTTCTCCGTTTTTTTTTTTCTTCGAGATTAGCTAAATTTCCTGCTTCTACTTCTTTTTCTTTATTTTTTAATCGGATCTCTCTCGCACATACAAAGACATAAATATAAATATGTGTATATCAACTTTTTTCATGAAACACACGTCGTCATTGTCGGCTAGTAAATGTGACGTCAATAGTAAAAAAAGAAAAATCTGAATGAACAAAGAAAATGCGATAGGATTGTTCCATAATAAACGGGAAAATAACATCAAGAAGAAAAATAATCGAAGCAATGCGCATACCACCAGAAGAACGTTGATTTTTTTTCTTCTTACGTTTACTCGTTTTTCTTCTATGTCTGTCTATCGATCGTTAGGCCGTTAATTGTTTCACATCGTTCAATTTTATAACAATCTCCAAACTACCATTAACATTCATTTTCTCTACCGTATTTGCCACAATAACTACTTTATTTTAACTTACGTTATTTCTTAATATTTTCCGAGAATACAAGCAAAAAAAAGAGTAAGAAAAAAAAGAAAAATGCTCGAAGGGGAGAAAAGAATAGAAAAGTCACTATATACCGAAAACTACCTGTTAGAAACATAGATGAAATACAACATTTTTCACCTTCAAACGAGATGCGTCCGTTTTTTCTATTTGCTCGACGATTTTTCATTCCATGTGGCGCTTTAGTTTCTAGCACTCTTGCTGCATCTTTTTCGAATGTCAATGAACAGAAGCATCATTCGATATTGAAATCTATTGGTCGTACTTTTTCCGATAAATCGATGGGAGGAAAAGGTTAGTTTGTTTGAAATATTTTAACTGTTCTGCATTTTTTCTTATTCAATTATTCTTTCGTTTTCTTATTAATACTTGACTTTCTTTTGCTGTGGCTTTTGATTTTTGATTTTTGATTTTTAGAAGCGTCGATGTCCCCACCACCTTTCGATTATGACCCATTTGATTCTTTACGAAAAAATAATTTTTCTGACGAAGAATTTAAAAGATGTTTTCGATATTTTGATTCACAGAAGTATGTTTTTTATTTACATATAAATAAGTAAATAAATGATATTCTTTTAAGACAAGGTTCTTGGACTCGAGAAGATTTTCGTCGTTTTCTTAATGCACTTTTTTCAAATAAAAAAAGACCCTACTGTATATTAAGTGATTTAATTGAACAATATTTTTGCGAAACTGATTTTAATCAAGTAAATAAATCTGACGTTCATTCGATTGAATTACTTGTTTTTGTTGTTCTTCTTTTTAGGATCAAAAAATTGATTTTGACGAATTTTTTAGTGCATGGAAAAAAACAATAAAATGCGTAAATAGATTTCTATCATTTACTGTATCGAATTAGCACTACTTTATTTCTTTTAGGCTGTAAAACCTGTTAGTGCACTAGTAATAGTTGATGTTCAAAATGATTTTATATCAGGATCATTAGCACTTCATTCATGTCCCGCCAATCATCAAGGTATTGATAATTGCCAATTTTTGTTTTTTTTTTTTTCTAATTATTTCGTTTGAATATTACTTTAGGTGAAGAAGTCGTTCCTGTAATCAATCAAGTTATTCGTGAAGTAAATTTTGATGTTGTTGCATATACATATGATTGGCATCCATTAAACCATATATCATTTTACGAAAATCGTCATCTAAGAAAATCATTACCTGAAAGTCCTGTATGTAAAGAACAAAAATTTTTAAGATAACATAATATTCATGTTTTTGTTATAGATTAGTGCTGATAAAGCAAATATACTTGATACTGTTGTATTTGTTGGATCTTCCGGTGTGAATGGTGGAGTTGAACAAGTTCTTTGGCCAGCTCATTGTATACAAAAAACTCCCGGTGCTGATTTGCATCGTGATTTGATTCGCGTTGATAATGCTATACATGTTTATAAAGGAACAAATCCTGAAATTGATTCTTATTCAGCATTTTGGGACAATCAAAAATTAAGCAAAACAAGTCTTGATGATCAATTAAAAGAACGTTTTGTAACTGATGTTTATGTTGTTGGTTTGGCTACTGATGTTTGTGTTGGTATGTTTTTCTTTTTATATATCAAAAAGAAAAAAAAAAAACAAGATAATATCTTTTTTTGTTTTGTTCAATTGAAATTATAATTTAGCTTCAACAGCAATGCATGCTGTGGAAAATAATTATCGAACTGTATTAATTGAAGATGCATGTCGAGGTGTGAATGAAAAAGAAATCGAAGTTAAACGAACAAAACTTAATGAAAGCGGGTGTATTTTTGTTGATTCAAATGTTGTAAGTAGATGATATTCTTTTTATTTGTTGTTGTATATTTCTATTTATAATTTAATTAATAAAATAGGTACCTGGAATGGTGTCTGGTGAAGATCGTCGACCTGAAGTGGCACGCGGAATGTTTGTTGAAAATCTTAAAGCTATTGGTCATTATAATCCTCATTAAAAATTTTTGACAGAAAAATTCAAAGAGAAGAAGACAGTTTAGAAGTGCCTACTTTGAATATGAATTTCTTCGTTTTCTTTTTCATTCTTTCTAAACATTCCTTTTTCTTCAATTCCCCCTTCGTGTACGCACTTCATTCGTAGCTAATGTCAATGCAGTCAATGATTTCTCTCTGCATTTTTACTCGCAACAAATACGCAATACATTGATGATTGCACATTGCACGTGCACAAACCTCTATCTGCTTGAAAACACATAAGAAATATAAAAATTCATGCACCTATATAGACACACATTACACCTAAATCCAATAATAAGCGAATCCAGTATTTTTTTTCTTTTTTTTTTTTTATTGCAATTGTGATAGTGTTGGTGGTCTCAGTATCATGTTTTTTTTTCTTCATTGTACACAGATCTTTGTGTATGATTTTTCGAAAATAAAATTACAAAAGAAAAGAAAATATTGTTAAATATAGAAAATATAATTTTAATGATGAAAAGTTGATTAAAATAAAATGAATATTTCTGCATGAATAAACTTAAAGAAAGAATGATTCATGATCTTTTTTTTTGTTCACAAAAAAAGGGTGGACGAACGAACTTAGATAAACAATTGCTATTAACATATACATCCAACGATCAAATGAGACTCATATAAGGTTTCATTTCAAGTATTCTGTTCTATAACCGAAAGTATACAATAAAAATAAATATTTATAAATAGACATGAAAAGGCATGTACATCTTGAAACAAAATAAGACAGCAATAGATACGTCCAGATAACGAATGACCTTCGTTAGTTTTTTTTTATTTGAATAAGTAAATCTAGAATTTGATCTTGTTTTTGCTTTTTATTTATAAATACTCGACATCGACGGCATGTTTTATTTTTTTGTCATAATCTTTTTTTGACATGGCTATAGGAAGTCATTTTTTTATCATTGGAAGACATAAAAATTTTTGTTATTATTTGTAGCTCTACATTTGTTTGTAATTGACAAAAGTAGATTACTAAAAACAAACGATACCAATGATGCTTTCCTTTAATTTTATGCAAAAATTTTCTTCTAAAATAAACAAGGGTGTGTACAAAAAAAATGTTTCGTGTCACAAAGATTTTTTAAAAATACTTCTTTGATTTTAATTATGGTACATATAACCTACAGAAATCTATGAAAACCTATATAATGTGATGATCATCATGATTTTTTTTTTCAATGATATTTTGTTAATGTATAAATAACTGGATTGTGTTATCTTTATTATCAGATTAGATTCTAATAAGAAAAAATAATCGTTTTGTTTCCGAATGTATAGACACATTATTATTTGAATTAGTTAGTAGTTGTCATTATTTTTTCCTTTGGTTATGAATTCCTATATGTATATCATAGGCTTCTTCAACTGAAGGTCATTGTTCAAATGAACATTTTTTTTTCTATTTATTAAAAAAAGAAAAGAAAATGACGATTGAAGGTTATTTTTATAAGTGGCTAATGGAAGATCTGAACCGATTCATTGATACATCTTTTTTTTCTGCTTATTTCTCAAGGTATTTGTACTTATGGAGTGTCCTCATTTGAATTGATAAACTGATGTTAACAATTTTAGACAGAAAAAAAAAGAAGAAAAACGTTATTCTCTCTTTGTGTCGGGAGTTTCAGCATGTGATGTTTGTAACAGTCTTGAATACAAATAGTATTCTTTTTAATATATATTTCTCTTTTTCCTTTTTCTCACCTTTAGTTTTTTTTTCTTTCTCTTTGTCTCTCTTCTTATGCTCTCCTTCATTCATTCACAATTTTTTTCTCTTTTGTAAAGTGATCTGACAAGTGAAATCTGTCAATTGCAATTTCCACTTCTTTTTTCTTCATCAACAACTAAAAATATGCCCATAGCGCGAACAATTCAACGTAATACTTTATCATTACCAAGTAGTCCACAAAAGACTTTTACTCTTTCATCTCAAAATCAAACACAAGATGAAGAAACTAATGGAAATAACTCAGTTAATGAAAAAATATCTCAAAGACGACCATCTGATTTACCAAAAAAATCAAATGGATCATCAAAAAATATTCCAAAAACATCCACACTTGATACGTCTCAAACACAAGGATCTCGACGTTCAGTAATAAATGATGGACCAACAATAAGAAGACGATCACATACTGATATTCAAACAGCTACGTCTTCATCGAATGGAGTTAAACAACAATTATCAACAACAAATGGATTGACAAATGATAAATCTCTGGTTCATCATAGTCAACAACAAAATCAATCGTCTCCACCAAAACCTAAATGTACATTGCCAGCATCATTAAGTCAACCAGGTTATGTTACACCATCAAAATTATTTAATATGATGGGTTATGGATTACAAAATCAGTATTTATTAATGCATGCACATTATTTATATATCATCGACTGTAGATCAAGAGAAAAATTTAATGAAAGTCATATTATTACAGGTAGAAATCTCGTTCGTTTTTAACTTGTCAATATTAAAAAAAAACAGTAGTTATTATAATTTGTTTTAAATAGCAAAACCATATGTGGTCTATAAGTCTTTTTTGAAATCTATTGGACAAAATCGGTCAAGTATCTTAGCAAAAAAGTATATACATCTTGAGTCATGACTTTTATTTTGAAAGAAAAAAAGTTTTCATCATTTTTCTTCAAAAGGCAATACAATAGTTTCTTTATGTCCTGTTTTGCTGCATACAAATGCATCAGACTAAAATGTTGTCAATTTTGTAAAAAGTACTTACATTTAGACATTATTGTTAAGTTCATTCTTTTTTCTATTTATTTTGAAATTGTTAATTTTCTCTTTTTTTTTTTTTACATTTTTACGCAGTTTAATAGAGGAAAAGATGATTGATGAAGTTGTTTTTCTTCTAAACTATTCCAATTTGAATATCATAAAAATTAATTATGCAATGGATATTTTTGCAGAAAAAATCGCAAGATGTTTTTTCTTTCTTTAAAAACCTTAAACAATAAATATTACAAGGTTGCATATTTGCATCAGATATCGGTCTGTCATCTTCAAACGATGTTTGTATGCATGTCATTAAAATTGAGTAAAAATGATAAAGCCAAAAAATGAATATGTAAATTGGTGGCTTCTGAAACCTATTAAGAATACGCAGAATAAAGATATATAACAAGAATATTTGTTAGTCCTTTAAAATCAAAATCTAAAACGGAATAGTACTCTAACGTAACTTTTGTTTTCTTTTACATATTTTTTTTTCTTAAAAAGCAATTATAACCTTCAAGGTAATTTGTCAAAAAAAACATCATACGTGAAATTCTTTCCAAATGATTAATAATAATCTAGAATATTCTTTTTTTAGCAATCCATTGGGAAGATGCACTAAATGGTACTGTTTATATATCTGTAGTCGAACGATTTAGTGAAATAATATTATATGATGAAAAAGGTGTTTTCTTTAATACAACAACAGAAATGCGTCGTGTTAGTAATCGTTTTTCACCGCAAGGCTCAAGATCATGTATATCATTAGCTGGTGGCTTTGAAGCATTTCGTGTATTATTTCCATTTTTTTGTACTCAAGCAGATATACGTTCAACAGTTGATCGAGAAAAATTTCTAACAATTTATCCATCTGTCGTTCTTGATAATCAACTTTATCTTGGTAAGATATTATTGAAAGTTCTTGTGTTTTTGTTTTTCGAATAAGACTTTCATTTTTTTTTTTACTTTGTCAAGGAACTGGTCATCAAGCAACGAATTGGAAAGTTGTACGTGATCTTAAAATAACACATATAATAAATATATCGGTTGAACATCAATGTGTATTTGTTGATAAAATTAAATATTTATATATTGAATTAGAAGATAAAGAAGATGTTTTATTAAAAGATCGTTTTGATGAAACAATACGTTTCATGAATATGGCTTTTCAAAATCCATCCAATCGTATACTTGTTCATTGTAATTTAGGTATATCGAGATCATCAACATTAATTCTTGCTTATCTAATGAAAACATATAATGCAACATTAAATGAAGCATATAAATTTTTAAGACATCGAAGACCTATTGTTTGTCCAAATATGGGTTTTCTTCATCAATTAATTGAATATGAACATGATTTATTTTCTTATACTTATACTGATCCAAATGATCCAATATTTCACTAAAAACATTTTATTTTTCAAAATATAAAAGGACATCGTCGCATGTTACAAACGTTATTATCTATGCTGTTTGTTTTTGTTTTTTTTTGTAATTAAATCTTTTTTTCTAACTACTGGTTTCCTTTGTAAGTAATTTTGTTGATATTTGACAAAAAGAATAATCAAAAGACAAGTGTAAAAAAAAAAGAAATTTTGTCTATTCGAATATATCTCGGTAAAATCCGAGAAAACAAGATATGATCATCATCGATTTTATTTTGATTCGCTTTAAAGTTCTTTTCCCACGAATATATGTAAAAGTTCACTATTGAAAATATTACCATCAGAAAAATTTTCGTTCATTAGAAAAAGAAAAAAAATAGTATTAATATGTTATGTGAGATTTTCAAAGAGAAACGTGTCACACGAGATTATGACGTGCATAATACTTCATAATCAAGGTCAAAGTAAATATATTATAATTTATTTCAGTTGCTATCTTAAGTACGACGAAAATGACCGTGAACTGATTTAAAATTGTGTCTTATGAAATTGATTTTGTGCTAATGACGTCACATCATGGATATAAAGCATAAAACACACTATCCGTTTTATGTTCGTTGAGATTTATCAAGCTTTGAATCTTAATCGTATCATAGTGTACGTAAACAAAGTTCTTTTTACTTATACTTTTAAATATTTTTAACTAGATTTGTAAGCCTTTCGTATTTCTGCAGATCTTCGATGCATATGCGGAAAAGCTGTATTCAGGCATTTTCATGAATTTTGAACGATGTTCATCTATCACGGTCATATTAGTAACAGTAGACAGGAAAATTGATTTGTT